TGCAGAGCCAAGATTCCATACTAATTTCTTTCCAGAGTAGTCATGCATCTTTATTAAGAGCTTTCTCTATTACAGAGACACAGTCACAAATAGCTATTGAGTTCATTTGGTTGAAGGGCTATGTCTACCCCAGAGGGTGCACAGAACCATCCCTGATTCTGTCTTTGGGCAGAAAAGAAATGTGGTGAGGTTGAGTTAAGAAGTCTCTGGATTTACACCCCCATCTGTCAGTGTCAGACAAGGGTGGCTGAATCAGGGCCATTAGTCTAGGATTCTGACTCAGAAAGCCAAGTCAAATGTGATGATTGTACCCATGCTGAGGGGGATGAGGTGGCAAAAATTGGTACCAGACACTCTGGAGGAACCTGGGAGACTGGAGTAAGCACGTAACTCTTTAGGCTGCCATATCATAGAACAAATCATTTAGGAACTTCTACATCCAACTGGTCCTCATAGAACCATCCTCATATTCATTGTGAGCCTGCAAAGAGCAGAACTGACTGCATTGTTCATTCTAGCACACTCAATTAAAGACACTAGACTGTCGGGTGCCAGTGACTCACACATGTAATCATAGCTCCTCGGGGGAATGAGATTGCAGTTCTAAACATGCCTGAGAAGACAAATCTGATACATTTTTGCATCCAAGTAACCAGAAGAAAGCCAGAAGTGGAGGTATGGTGTAAGTGGTAGAGTGCCAGCCTGGAGTGTAAAAATCAAGCAAGAGCACAAATCCCTGAATTCAAGCAAGAGCACAAAGCCCGTTCTTTGTACTGTCACAAGGAAGCAACAGACAAAATCACTGTCAGATCCTTTAGGAAAGAATAAACTAGTTTTTGTTGTAAAGACTTCAGAAAGAAAAGAAAAATATACAGAAAGGGTTTAAAGGCTATTTTCTTTTCTTCTTCTGTTCTTTCATAGAGAAAAACACTCTCTGGTCACAAATTCATTTTAAGTGAATTTGATGAATAATTGAGTTCTTAAAAGTAAATAAAGTATAAAGTAGAATAGATCCTATAAAAAATGAGGAGAATTCTAGCTACTCAGGAGGCTGAGATTGGAAAGTTGAGTTTTGAGGCCAGCCTGGGCAGGAAAGCCATTGAGACTCTTATCTTCACACACACACACACACAAAAACAATGAAACAGTGATATTCACAAGATAATATGTTAGAAATGACCTGTACAACTTGGGGTGGGGTTGGGGGGAGGGAAAATGAGGGAAGGGGTAACAAGTTTGACAAGAAATGTACTTATTACCTTACTTATGCAACTGTAACTCTCTGAACATCACCTTGACAATAAAAAGAAAGATTTTTTTTTTTTAAAGCCAGAAGTGGAGCTGTGGCTCAAGAGGTAGAGTGTCAGCTTTGAGAGATAAAAGCTAAGAGATAGTGCTCAGGACCTGAATTCAAGTCCCAGTACTAGAATGGAAGGAAGGAAGGAAGGAAGGAAGAAAGGAAGCAGGGAAGGAAGGAAGGAAGGAAGGAAGGAGGAAGAAAGGAAGGAAGGAAGGAAGGAAGGAGAGCGAGAGGAAGGAAGGCCAGGTATAGTGGTGCATGTTTGTCATTTGAGCATTTGAGAGGCTGACACAAGATTGTAAATTTGAGACCAGTCTGGGTAACAAAACAAGGCTTTATCTAAAAAGCAAAAACAAAATGGGAATGGAAAATGAACAGGAATGTTCAAGATGATAGAAGCAACTGCATTTGATTAGAGGTAAAAATAAGTAGATAGTAAGCTTCAAGCAAACAGAGAAGCTGACAGCTCTCAGGCAGACCTGGGCAAGTGCACTATGACATTCTTCACAGGCCTCCAGATTCCCTCAGATCTAGCCCCTGAGTTACTCCATGGCTGTCCTGGATCTAATCACAATGGTCTAGAGTAGGGATGAATGCTATCAGTTGATCTGGACCATGAGTCTTCCCTTGACAGCATCTGTGTTATGGGAGCTTATATGCTCATAGGTTAGGCTGAGTCACCAGATCGGGAGCTGAAACTCCAACCAAAGCCTACAGGATGAGAATGGGGAAGGGTGCTCTTAGACCAAATGGAACATGAGTGTTGCATTACCAGAATGTTCACCACATTGGCATTTCCTTTTTTCTTCCTTGGATAACTCTTCTTTGCTTTTTGGAAGCACATGGAAGCATTGATTGCATGAAGCAGCCTTTCCTGATCTGTCCTACACTCCAGATTAGATGTCCCAGAACATCATCTGCATTCTCACAATTCTCTTTTCCAAATTAAATTCCCTTTATGAGTTCTTAGCACTGAGTACAGGGCTTGACAAGAATAGCATGTGTAGAATGACTGTAGAATGTGTGTGCATTCGCAGCATTGTTCCAGACTGGGCCTCTGCTGCTCACTCCCTGGGAATTTACAGCTATACCAAATAGCGGCTTTCACAGCAGTCATTCCATTTTTGCTCAGTAGATGTTGGTTGGAGCCCTGCACTAAGCACAGGCTCTGAGTACAGAAGCAGGCTTCATGTTCCCAAAAGCTGGTATGGTAAAGTGCAGCTTTTTTTCCGCAGCCTTCCAAATTCTGTTTCCACACACCAAATCTTCCCTTTGGTCCTGAGGGCCAGAGTGCACCCACTCACTTCAATCCCAGAATCCTGCTTTTCCTTTTCCTTTGGCTGCAATCTTCTCCCCTTTTACCTCTCATCTTTGCCTTTTCCCTTTATCTGACTCTAAAATTCGCACACCACTGCCATAAGAAAGGTCCTTAAACACCAATTATCATTCACCCATTTTATGAAAAGTCTGAGTCCTGTCTTTTCATTTCCTTTTCCTCCCTTTCCTTTACTACCCTTTTTCTGTTCTTTTCTTTTCCTGTGCTAGTACTGAGGCTTGAAATCAGGGCCTTGCACTGTTGCTTGGCTTTTCTGGCTCTTGACCACTTGAGCCACACTTTTACTCCTGGTTTCTTGCTGGCTAATTGGAGATAAGAGTCTCTTGGATTTATCTACTGGGTTGGCTTTGAACCATCATTCTCAGTAGCTAGGATTCCAGGTGTGAACCACTGGTGCTCAGCCCCAAGGACACTTCAGTGCTTCCAATAGAAATTCTAAATTCTTCAACCTGGAATTACAATCGTCATTATCCATCTAGTCCAGGCATTTTTGCATACCACCTTTCTACTTCTCAAACCAGTGTCCAGCCCATGCCCTCCTCCCCACCCTGCTAACTGCATGTCTTCCCCTTCACTCTTTGTCCTTTTCTACTGTCCTCCTTGTAAGATTTTAGGTGAGGAAAGAACACACAGGAGGAGGTAAAGGTGAAGAAAGAAAAGTTTATTGGGGTACACTCCTGGGAGAACTCCCTGGTCAGGATCAGAGAGGTCCCGCAGTCTGGTTGTAGCAGAGTTTATATGGCCGGGCAGGAACTTTTAGCACTGTAACTAGTTTTGCAAGTTTGAGCAGTTTCAGGCTAGTGCCCCCAAAGAATGATCGGGATAGGTGGTGTATGATTGGGACGGGTGGTACATAAGGAAGTGGCTTTTCTCGGCTGCCTCTGCCCTACAGCACCCCGACACTACTTTCTTCTACAAGCCTGCTTCTTAATTCCTGTTTTTGTCATGGGGTGTTTTCTTACACCTGTTCACAGCCACATTTTCCTTTTTTGAACAACTATAATTCTAGGAAAGTTGAGCCTGTATCCCTCAACTGTCAAGCACATATGGCTTAATTTTCCATGATTAGATTAAAGCTCTTTTTGCGTCTTTTACACAGCACCTAGCAAGGTTCTGGTAGCAAGTGCATATTAAGAGTGGATTCCATGTTAGGAGAATCAATAAGAGTGAAGAGCTGAGCTAAAATTTCATGTAACATTTGTAGAGCTACCAACAAACACAAAAATAGTTGACTTGCACTACACTTTTTCAGAGTAGAATGAGTGTTGTAATTCAATAGATGGAGTTTGTGATTAGCATGCTTATTTTCTCATTTTTAAATTATCAAAGCTAGAATCCTAGGAATGCCTATTTCCTCTTGCAAGAGTAGAATCTGTATATACAAGATGCAGGGCACCAGTATCAAATACAGTGACAACAGGGGCTATACCATGGGGGAAGGGAAAGACAAATAACAAATGCTGAAACAAGGATATAGGTTGACCTATTGTAACAATGAGATGTACAAGACACTATGTTGAAAATGAACTTTACAATTTTGGGATGGGGAGGGAGGAGTTGGGTAGGTGGGTAGGGAAGGGATGGTAGGGGAAAATCAAAGGAGGAGGTAACAATGTGTGATAGGAAATGTACTCATTACCTTACTCATGTAACTGTAACCCTTCTGTACAGTATCTTTACAATAAATAATATTAAAAAAAAGAGTGGATTTCATGAAAAAAGAAGGAAGGTGTGTAAGGTCCACCCCAAAGGAGACTGCCATGTGGTTCCTCCCACTGTGCTCCAGTTACCTGGGCGGGGCATGGGCTTCTAGGGAAGGAGCCACGGGTGCATTGGAGAGCAATGAGGAAGAGGCCGTTTTCCCCCCAGCGGACCAAGTTGAAAAGAAGGGGAAAACCAAGACTGTGACTTCAGAATCTTTTGCTTTTGTTTTTGTGGGGGCTGTGGATGCTATTGTTCTTTGTAGTTTGTCAAAAGCCCAAAATGAGCCCGGGCACTGGTGGTTCGTGCCTATAATCCTAGGCAAGAGGCTGAGATCTAAGGATTGAAGTTCAAAGCCAGCCTGGACAGAAAAGTTCATCTCGAATGAACTACCAAAAAGCTGAAAGTGGAACTGTGGCTCAAATGATAGGGTGCTACCAAAAAGAAAAAAAAAGTGTTACCCCAGAAGCTCAAGGACAAAGCTCAGGCCCTGAGTTCAAGCCCTGGGACCTGCAGGACATATATATTGTTAGTGGCACTACAGAGATTACATGTCATGGTGAACACCAAATGAGAAATTATAATGCAAGTATATATTTCAAGTAAGCTATTAGAGTTTCTCTTGTAATCTCAGTGATAAAATATTTTCCTTTTTACTTTTAGACTTGCAACATTATTTCTCGAAAGAGGGCCCAACCGAATAGGTGGCATCTACAAAAAGGCTGTTTACAGACACTTCACCGATGGGACCTATTCAACCGAGATCCCCAAACCCCCTTGGCTTGGATTCCTGGGCCCAATCCTGCGGGCTGAAGTGGGTGATGTGATTGTCATTCATTTAAAGAACTTTGCTTCCCGGCCTTACTCCTTGCATCCACATGGTGTTTTCTACAACAAGGATTCGGAAGGTAAATACCAATTCTCTGTTGTGAGGGTTGTAGGTCAGTTCCACTTAAGGGGTCCTAAAACACCACCGTTACACATATTCATTTGTTTTCTTGCCTTGGCTCTCCTAGTCTGTCTCTTCTTTCTCTTCCTTCTTCTTTCCCACTTTCTCTGTTCTTGCTCTTCTTCATGTTGTTACAGAGACGGGGCTGGGATCCCTTGGCATGTGCCCACCATGCCATTCCCAGAGCACACTGGTTTCCTTTTGTGCCACTCCGTGGTGTCATGGAAGTGCACTGACTAAACATCTTGCTCCTGCCACCAGTTGCAGCCTGTGGCTCTTCCCCTTCTAGAAGCACCTTTGTCTTTCTCACGAGTTTTAGTAGGGTTGTTTTTTTAGATTTCTCTCTAATGCAAAAAGTCATGTAAAAATCCTTGCACTGTTAGTTGGCCTGCCACCATACTAACAATTATTCAAGAGAAACCAACTATATTATAAAGGAAAAGGTGTACTTTGGCTCACAGTTTTGGAATCTGTCATCTATGGACCCCATTGTTTTGAGGCCTGTAGTGAGGAAGAACATTACAGTGGAAAGCATATGGCAGAACAAAACTGTTCCTCTTGTGACTAGGAAGCCAAAAGAGCAGGAAGAAGCTGGTGCCTACTGGCCCCATCCAGAGCGCATCCTCTGTGACCTGAAGGTCCCCATCTTCAAAGGTTCTATAACCTCTCAACAGCACTACTCTGGGTACAACTGTTTGTTTACTATTAGGGAAACGCTTCAGGTCCAAATCGGTAACATCCCTTGTATTCTTGCTTGTGATTGGGTGGAATGAGTTGAATGATGCTACACCTGCTTGGTGGCTGCACCTGGGGAATGTGTCAGACACAGTCCCATTAACTCTGATGCAACTCATCGTAGCATCAAGGAGGAGCTACTGTTATTGAAGGTTCCCTGGCACCCAAACTTGACTGGTAGCTGTTCCTGCCAGGTCTGTGTAAGCAACAGGAGGAGAAAACTCTGAGGATGAGCTTGAATTGGGGGGGGAATGCCCTTTGTTCTTGACACATTTCCTTTACCACAGGGTAGCCCAGGCATGGTCATTTTTAATTGTTGAGAATGACCATAAGATAGTATGCTAGGCAAATTTGAAGGTTTGTAAAAAGGGGACTATTTTGGAGATAAGAACAGGAAGGTAGAAGAGGAAAAAAGAGGGTAGAAGGAAATATGATCAAAGTATATTGTCTCTACATATGACTAGGACAAAACCCACTTAAAATAAAAAGTTTAAGACATTTTTATTTTAAAATTTTTAACATAGTTGTACAAGAGAGTTTTCATTCAACATATGCATTTAAATTTTTTGGGGGGGTCTGGTCATGGGGCCTGAACTCTGGGCCTGGGCACTGTCCCTCAGCTCTTCAGCTCAAGGCTACCACTTGAGCCACAGCGCCACTTCTGGCTTTTTTCTTTTTGCTTATATGGTGCTGAGGAATTGAATCCAGGACCTCATGCATGCAAGGCAAGTGCTCTACCACTGAGCCACCTTCCCAGCCCTATTTAAGATTTTTTAAAGCAAGTTTCAAAAGGGTATTGGGAGAAAGTAATAGAGGCAGTGAGTATAATCACAACATATTATATATATTATATATTATGTTTTATATATTATATATAGATAGTATGGAAATACCACTATAAGATTACATTAATAAGATAATTTTGGAAAGTTTATAAGAGATAAAATTTTATGCTTTTTTTAAAGCTCAACAGCTATGTACATATGACCATATAAGATGATGCTAAGTGAAATGAACCCCAAGATATGAACACAAGAGGTCTTTCCTTGTTGTTGCTGTTTTCAATGTAATATGTTATTTTTTGTTTCCTTTGTATGTTCTTCCCTCTATGGTATATCCTCTGCTGTCATTGTACTTGATTTTGGCACCCTGTATCTTGTATATTCATTTGTCTAATTTGGGGAGGGGAAGGGGAATAACAAAATGCTGAAATAAGGACACAGGATGATCCACCGCAACAATGATACCCACATGACAGTATATGGGAAATGAACTTTACAAATTCAGGGGAGGAGGGAGGAGTGAGGAAGATGGGAAGGAAAGGGATAGTGGGAGAACAACAAAGGAGGGGGTAACAATGCTTGACAAGAAATGTACTCATTGCCTTATTCTTGTAACTATAACCCCTCTGTACAGCATCTTACAATAAAATAAAATTTAAAATTTTTATTTTTTATGCTTTTAAAAATATAGTTATTTTGAAAGTATCATTTACACTTCAGGAGGAAGGCAAAGATATGATATATTGTCCCATAGAATGAATTAGGACGTCTTCTTTTTTCTTTTATTATTATCATTATCTTTAAATAATTGTACAAGGAAGCTTCAATTTAACATGCCATTTATGTATACAATGCATCTCGATCACTGCTTCTATCATTCTTCTTCCTTCCTCTCCTTTCCCACTCATTTCCTCATTCTATGTTCATCTATCTATATTGAATATTATTACTGCACTTCCACACTTTTCCTCTTTCTATTCATCCACCATCTCCCATTAACCCTCACTTCTAACTCAAAATATGCTTCAGTTTCCTAATTTTTTTTTATTAAACTACCTGCTAATTGTTCAAAGGTGGTATACCATGGAATTCTACTTCTGTGTGTACCATACTTCAGTCATTTTGATCATACATGTATGCATATGATCCTGCATGTGTTTACATATATGTTTATATTTTGGTCTAATAATACTTAGATATGAGAGAAAACACGTAATTCTTATCCTGTGAATCTGGCTTGAAGTTATCCAGATCCATCTTACATATGACATAATTGCATTCTTTTTGATAGCTGAATAAAATTCCACTGCATATATGCACCACTTTTTCTTGATATATTAATTGGTTGTAGGACATTTGGGCTGTTTCCATAGCTTGGCTATTGTGAACAATGCTGCAATGAACAGATATGTCCAGATACCACAATTGTATCCTGATTTACATTCCTGTGTGTGTGTGTGTGTGTGTGTGTGTGTGTGTGTGTGCTAATCCTGGGGCTTGAGTTTAGGGCTTAACTTATCCTCGAGCTGTCCTGAGGTTTTTGCTCAAGGCTAGCACTCTACCACTTGAGCCACAGCTCCACTTCCAAAGTTTTTGGTGGTTAATTGGAGATAAGAGCCTCATAGACTTTTTTACCTGGCTGGCTTCAAACCATGATCCTCAAATCTCAGCCTCTGAGTAGCTAGGATTACAGGCATGAGCCACCAGTGCCCAGCTATTTTTAACTTTTGAGAAACCTCCACACTGACTTTCATAGTCAGTACATTAATTTACATTCCCACCAGAAGTATATGAGAGTTCCTTTCCCCCAGTATCCTTGCCAACATTTGTTGTTCATATTCTTGGTGATGGCCCATTCTGAATGGCGTGAGAGGGAATCTTGTGTTGTTTTGATTTGCATTTCTTTTATGGCCAGGGATATTGAACATTTCTTCATTTATTGGCCATTTGTACTACTTCTTCTGAGAAGTTTCTATCTAACTCATTTACTCATTTATTCATTGGGTTATTGATTTTTACAGGATTTAATTATTTATGGTTTTTTTGGGGGCGGGGGGGTCTGGTCATGGGGCCTGAACTCTGGGCCTGGGCTCTGTCCCTCAGCTCTTCAGCTCAAGGTTAGCACTCTACCACTTGAGCCACAGTGCCACTTCTGGCTTTTTTCTGTTTGCTTATGTGGTACTGAGGAATCGAACCCAGGGCCTCATGCATGCAAGGCAAGCACTCTACCACTGAGCCACCTTCCCAGCCAGGATTTAGTTTTTTAAACTCCTGGTATATTCTTTTTTTAGTCCTTGTCTGATATATAGTTAACAAAGATTTTCTCCTGTCCTGTAGGTTTTAGCTTTTTAAGCTTGATCCTTCTGTTTTCTGAAATATTTTTAATAAACAATTAGCATATTTCTTCTTTAATAATTGATAGAACTTATTTTCTTCACAGGGAAATTTTAAATTACTAAATAAGGTTTTTTTTTTGACATCGATTACAGTTTTTCACTTCTTTTTGGGTCAGTTCAAAGCCAGTATACTTCTTCATATACTTATTTTTCCACTGCACTTTTTCAAATAGGCATTTTAAAAATACATGTGTCATGGGCACATGGGTCATGTGTCACGGGCATGGGTGGCTCATGACTGTTATCCTAACTACTCAGGAGGCTGAGATCTGAGGATGGAGCTAGCGCAGGTAGAAAAGTCCATCAGACTCTTTTCTCCAATTAGCCACCAAAAAGCCAAAAGTGAAGCTGTGGCTCAAGTGGTAGAGTTCTAACCTTGAGCAAAAAGCCCAAGGTCTGTACTCAGGCACTGAGTTCAAGCCTTAGGACAAGCACACACACACACACACACACACACACACACACACACACACACACACACACACACACAGAGAGTATACATGTGTCTAGGGGTTTATCACTTTTATCTCTTGTCTAATATTTCGACACTACTTTGTTTATAATATTCCCTTATAAGCAATTGTATCTTCATTTGCTAGGTAAGCCCTCTCTTTCTGATTTTGGCAGTTTGTGCATTCTTTCATTTTCTTGCACAGTTCAGATAATATTTATTAAATTTTATTAATTTTTATGAAGCAGACTTTTTGTTTATATCTGTTTTACATTTTTAATATTCTAAATTCATTTTGCTCCTATCTCTGCCACTTTATCTATTTTGCTACCATGCATTTAGAGTTCTCCTGTTGTCTAGTCTCTTAATATAAAAGTTTAGATCATTGAAAGACTTTTCACTTCTATTGTAGGTTGAATATCTAAATTTTACCTGTGTATCATAAATTTTGACATGTTTTAGGTTCATTTTAATTTAGCCCCAAATATTTTACAATTTCCCTTGTGATTTCTAAATAACCCAGGGGTTATTTAGAGATGTACTCTTTTATTTCCAAATATTTTATTGATTTTCAATATTTCTTTCTGGGGGCTGG